TATATATATATATATATATATATATATATATATATAACGTTTTCTTATATATTTGACCAAAGCGAATATTTTACTATATCTTAAAAAAATCGAAAGATTCACTGTATTAATTCATTTTTTTCGAGTAAAAACTGTGCTGCTTGACTGTATTTTGAAGAAACTCTGAACAATCAGTGTAACTTGCTATTTAGCTTATGATATAGCCTGAAAGCCACATTTTCTGTGCTCAAATATCGGTAGAAACCAATTAATAGAGACGAAACTTCCCTGCGGTATTTAATCAAAGTATTTCGATGTTGTTCCATGCTAATGCTAATTATTTTAGAACTGATCTGCTGGATTCTACCATGAGACCTCGCCTAACCGTTTCTTTTAATATCCATTTTGGAGTGACCAAACTGTATTTTTACTCAGCAAAGCAAACAGCAGACATATTATACTTTTACTGTTGGCTAGCCAACTTTTTTGTATCTAATTCACGTAGAACCAATTCTTATTACCAGTTCGTCACCTCACAGCTTTTATTTAATTTAACTTGCTGTCTTGAATCTTCAGGACTAGGTATAGTTATTCAAGATCCAGCTTCTTATTCGCATAGTCATTTAGTTTACAAAATAAATAACTTTAATATTTTGAAACTTCGTGACGTCCATAAAGCTTGTTTGTTTGTTTGTTGAATTTCGCGCAAAGCTACATGAGGGCAATCTGCGCTAGCCGTCCCGAATTTAGAACATTAGACTAGAGGTAATGCATTTAGTCATCACCATCAACCGCCAACTCTTGGGCTACTCTTTTACCATCGAATAGAGGGATTAACCGTCACATTATAACGCCCCCACGGCCAAAAGGGCGAGCATGTTTGTTGGGAAGTGATTACACGTGATTACAGGACGACATACTGTGCTTCTATCTAGTACTGGATAGAGATCTTTATTAATCGAAATTCCGAAAAAGACTCTGTAAAATCTTTGTCAAACTAAGAGGGTTAAACCATGTGTAGAAAACAAGTGTAGGAACTGTTAGAGTACTAATGTTACCCACATGACTAGTCCTCTTTACACAGGTAAAAATAGAGGGGTTATATCCTACAGGCATTACTGACTTGCCAATGGTAATGCTTACTGTCTAAACCTACATTGTGTATTCAATTGTTAATTCTTATATAACATCAGAGAAATGTGGTCCAAAACAGTAGGTAACTAGATCAAAAGTAGATTAACCTGGTTTCGGAACCAATTTTCTATTGTCAAAAACTATACACAGTTTGAAGTTGCGTAACTATAAAAAATTTTGAAAATCCTTGGTGAACGTGAAATGCTTACAAGGCCTGATCTACACTAGAATAGAAAAACAACTAGTATTCTTAAGCATTACAGAAGACGCTTAAATAGTAAAAATAATATTTATAAAAGAAAACTATCTGTCCTAATAAAATCAAATTTCTAATTATTCTTACCCTTCCAATTGATAATACTTCGTTGCTTGTTATATTTTTTTGCAGGCCATCATCATATAACTTACGAATTCCCAGGTTTTGTAACAGCAGAAATCACTTTAACCTTACAGAGATTCAGGTATTTATAGTGTGTGGTTTTCATCACTGTTTGTAAATATTTTATGATTTACTTGCTTTTAACAAGCTTTTATAAAGATTAAGGTTTAATTTTTTCATGCATATAATTTATTCATACAAGTATTTATAAAGATACTTCTAATAATGAATAACAGAATATATTTTATCTAAAAGATAATTGTATTAGAGAGGAGTAGATACGCCGATAAAATAGTATTAATCGAATTTGCGTTGTTTCTCGCCGATATATCTTATATTTTTTATTCTAAAAAGTAATTTGTTGTTTTTAAATTCGTTTCCAAACCACAGCACAAGAACTCAATGTTCACTACTTTTAAGTGTATAACATGTCAAAATGCTAGTGTGAATAAAGTCCCACAGTTTATCATAAGAATATAAGTTTATGCTTTGCTTCTAGACTTCATACGCGTTATTGTTTTGCATGTTTCATATTTTAGGGTAGAATTTCTAGGGAATATTATATTTTAATGTACATAGAGATAAAAAAAACAATTATTTTCTTTTTAGCCTCCTAGTAGCACATTGGAATGTCTGTAGATTTAAACCGCTAGAAACCGGGTTTAGATACCCGTGGTGGGCAGAGCACAGATATCCCTTTGTGTAGCTTTGTACTTAATAATTAACAACAACAACAAGCTTCTTTTCAAAAAAATGAAGATATACTTCCTAAACAAGTGAGCATTTTAAAATGCATACACACAAATGAATAAAAGAAAAACCCTTTCCTTTGGATATATCAATTGAAAAAGTTCAACACGAAGCAAATATGGAAAAATTTTGAACTTCTTTTAACAAATATTTGGAAAGAAAACTTATTATGGTAAAATATAGCAAATGAAAGAAACACGTATCAACTTGAATAAAATACTGCTTCACAATACAAGTAGAAATGTGTGGCAAGGTCTTCAAAGTACTGTTTAATGCCTACTGAAGGAACTAAAATGCTGGTAAAATCTGTCTTAGATAAGTGAAGAACTTATGGAAAATTCCTTTGCATTTATTAATACATAGGTTATGGGACGAAAGTGGTATATGTAACAGTGCCCAGAATAAAGTGTGAACATTGTTGTTTTTGCAACATTACTTGACTTATTTACTTCCAAAAAATGATACAGGTAGTTAATGCATCTTTGCAAAACAAGTTTGAAAAAATGTAATCCAGACTTGATACGTGGTTATCAATTAATATAGAATTTGGTTATTTAAAGCATCGCAGATGACCCTCTATTACATAAATTTGGAATAAATTAAGCCTGTTTAATTTGATAATGTTCACATTCTGATTGTACTAACACAGAAAATTTCTTATAATTAGGATCATAGTGTTGTATAGCTTAACTAAAGCATTCTTCAGAGCAGTGGTATAGCCAGGTATAAAATTCTGAATGGACTTGGAGTGAGGATGAATGAGCAGAAAGCATACAAACCCTTGGAGGCGAGTTATAGGCAGCTAAACAAAAGTACTATGTATGATGTATTTTGATGTGGGAATCATTAAGCAGAATTTGATTGAGTGGGAGGGCCATGGCCTATCCATGGCTATGTCACTACTTCAGAGATTGGAATATTTGCTCACATTCCTTATTCTAGCTGAAGTGCATCTCTGTCTCAGTAAGAACCAATAATGGTGAGATAATCTGGGAGAAGTTGATCAGAAACTCTTGATAACACCACAAAAAAACAAGAAATTGCAGAATCTCATTTGGTCACAGGTTGAGGCCAACCTCGTACCACTGCTAGTTTAGCAGGATCTGCAGAGGTTTCTTCCATGCCCACAATATACCAAAAAAAATTAATTTCCATGCACATGAAAACACATGTTATGGGTTTCAGTTTCCAGTCTGCCTTTTTTATTTGCTAGAATACTATTTCATGTTCTCCATCATAGACTCAAATATGTAACAAAACACCAAGATGTCATCTACATAGAACAGGCACTTCTCTCACTCCCATTGCAGCCTTTCAGTTTAAGCTCCAATAGGCTTTTGAAAGTGATGGTGGCGTTACAAAGGCCAAATAGCATTACACGAAACTCATACAAGCTCACTCTCTTGTTAAAAGCAGCCTAAGGTCTGTTCTGTTTATTTAGGTCTAGTGTTTAAAGTCAAAGGGCCCCTTCCAATGCATCCAGACAGTCATCAGTTCACGGTAATGGAAAGGCGTCAACACAAATTATCACATTCACTTATATAAAATCAATGAAGGACCTTGGCAGATCTTTTTTCCTGATAATAATTACTGGAGATGACCAAGCACTATCTAAAAGCTGTGCGATTCTGTCCTTTAATACCTGCTGTACTTCAGTGCTAGCTACATCCTTAGTGCTACAGGGAATCCTACATCAGCTGTTCAAGGATAATGCATTTGGATAATGACCCCCTGACAGCTAACTGCCTGAGCTAATGTTTGTTTTCTGTACAGAAACTAACCTAATGCAATACAGCATGTACTATATAACTACATTACGTGGTACAGACACACTAAACATTTTCAAGAGTAAACCATGGAACCCATTTGTATATACAGATGTACTGTTACTTTTTCTCCCAAATTCACTTGTATCCACTTTTCCTGTGGTCAGTCTTTCACACATTGGATGACTCTACTTTGTAACCCATTGCACTGTCAAATTAATTTTCTTACAAATGTATACTCTGCAGTACATGTATTCTAATTTGTACAGAAAATTTGCTTAAGCAGTCAAGCTTTCTGTGAAACCATTTGTCCAAGCCTTGAATTCAGTCCAGTGGATTACTCTGATTTCCACTGGGTCGAAACTTCAGCACAACTTAATAATGATTGCCTCACAATCCCAAAGTTGTACCTCATATAAGTGCTCTGTTGTGGAGTGTAAGATCATACTGCCAAGACTCAGAAACAGGCATTGTACAACCTGTTCCATAGTCCAAATATTTAAGACAGTTACTTGCCTTAAAAACTTCAGGAAACTGTCCTAATCTTCCTTTGTTGTATCTTATATGTCAGTGGAGTGATCTGCTTTGTCTTACTCATGGGGAACTATGATCGTGGCTAGATGCTCTTTATTTTAACTTCCAGGTCGTTATATGAATAAGATGTTCTGACATAGCTTGGTAGGGGCTTTCAGAGATTCAGTACTCTGACGAGTAGCAGGTAGAGATTCAGAGTGGCAGAATGACATCATGTTATAGGCAGCTCCTCTGTCAGCTCTGCTTAATTCCAAGCCTTCCTGTGGGCTATATCCAGATCAGCAGTATACTTCCCAGCTCAGGGAGGCTCACCATTGTGCCATGACTCACTCAGCATCTACCGTCTTACATTCCATTGAGATTTCTCTTACTTAGCACTTCCAGTTCCAAAGTGGTTTTGACCAGAATTGAGGTTAAATTTCTCTGGCTGGAACAAGTCTATAAGACTTCCCTACCTTATTTCAGAATTACCAGGTACCACATCACTGCAACGATCCTCAGTCCGTGGTTTCCTCTAGCTGAGCATGATCAACCATTTTGGATACATCAGAAATCAGTAGCTCTTCTTCCTAAGCTATTGTATAGGGTGATAGAAGTCACGGATTTTTGCAGCATGGTGAAAGTCCTATGTCAAAGAGAGGAATTCTGCTAGTTCTGACAACCATCTTCCCTCAGCAAGCAACTCTCCCTCTTGTTCATATGTCCTCCTAGTTGTAAAAAGATGCAATTTTCTTTAACTAAGAAACTTTTTAAACTTACTGTAGAAAAATTCAAGTATAACATAGTAAACAATTCTGCAGATATAGCAAACTTCACAATAACGATATCCTGGTCATGACACTATTTTTTTCTTACCTGTCACACTTTCAGGATACTTTCAGTTGTTAACCTTTCAGGATCCTGTTCATACTATACTCATTCCAACTTATGTTCCAGACAGAGTGATTAAATGTAAAATTCCTTAGCATGCAAGAAATATTGTATTTACCCAAAACGACTCTGTATTTACCCATGTAACTGGTTTTTCTCATTACAACATACGTGGGGCCATAACCTCTAAATATCACCTTAACAACCGTTGAAGGACACTGCTGTTGAAATCTTTCCACACCATTTAGTAATGAGTAACATCCTTCCCAGGCAGTAACAGATATTATTCACTTCGAGAACAACAAAGGGACAAAAGTAGGGTAGAATGAAATCAACTTAATGGCTTTCTTGACCATGTGTTGCATGAAACTTGCAAATATAAAGAGTAAATTCGTAATGACATTACACGACGAAAGGAACAATAATTCACCTTATTGGTTCACATTTTTTAAAAACTAAATTTTTTGTGATTTACAAGAATGATACAGTACAAGTATTTTTGTAAGATCAATATACCTCTACCAAGCAGCACCTGTTTTTGTTGAATATATATATTTCACTTATATAATAAAAATGTATAGCGATTTAACCGTCAATATTTAGGGTCTTGTTTCTGAGCTTGAAAATGAGTGGCCAAATTTGTATGTGAGAAGAAAAGCATCAAGTTTCTGGTAAGTGTAACTGGACACTTCGGAAAGATATATCTTAGAGAATAAGAGTTCTGCTAATGTAAGAAAACATCATTCTATATTCAGCAGGAAATAGTCTTAATGAGCATGGATTTTAATATTATTTACTGGACTCAACTTTAAATATAAAAATGATTAATTTTCGTACCAACACGAGAACAAAAAAATCTGGAAATTTGCAATGTGGATCATCCATATATATTTGCGAGGCACTGTCTAATCAAATTTATTATTAGATATTACTGTTACAATCTTCTAGTACCCAACCAATTTCTAATATCTCTTTAAAATTATATATATTTTTAAATAATAAAGTTACTTGTTTACTGATGAATAATTTATGTCCACAAGCAACTACAATTGGGATATTTAGTTTTACTGCACCTTGATGTATTCATTGTTTCTAAAACAATACGAAATTATTTTATTCACATTTAACAAAAATAGTGGGTACTTTCACCCCTTTTAAGACTTGTATGATTTGTGTCTTGAATAAAGATGTGAATAATCTTAACTGTAAATAAAATGTGTTTACAAATGAGTACATAATTAAAGATTTAAAATGTTGCATACATATAAATACTTTTATATATAGGAATTTTTTACACGCATTTCAGTTTTAGTTAAATTTGAGCATAAAATCAAAGAAAAATTAAGTGTAACTAATCTTTAGAACTATAAACAATAAACTTAGGTCTTAGATTAGTGCTAGCTCAGAAACAATGTATTTTATGTTAAGTCTAACTTAAGCATATAGGGGTATCTGTACGAACCCTTAG